CTCTCTCTCTCTCTCTCTCTCTCTCTCTCTCTCTCTTTCTCTCCCAGCTTTCAATCCGGTTACTAACTTAACCATCGGAGTGTTCCCGCCGGATGAGCCCCCCAGATTCCTTCATCTTCTTCCTCACAGATATCTCTCGTCCGTCGTCAGCTAGGAGCGCAACCACTTTCAGCTAGGAATGACCAGATCGCGCACCATCAGAAAGAAAGCCCTTTAAATCACAAAGGAAAAAATGTGAACAGGGAGCTTCAATGGGATTATGGGAATGGCCATGGAGGTGTGTGGAACTTGGAAGAATAAGTCTCTGAGGTGGAGGTAAGGGTAATCATGTAAATATTTGTCTTATTCCAGTTATATTCAATGTAGTATTTACTTTCCTTCTGGTTGAAACCATGAAAATAAAAATTTGCGGTCTCTTGCTCTTATATCTATTTACCATTAATTCTGTCATTGTCTTCTTTATCCTACCTAAGTTTCATGATCCATTTGCTGATCCATTGATCTATTCACTTGGTAAAGCTCAACCTTTCCAAGGGTTGATCCTGTGAAGTTTCTGTTTGACTTGATCTAGATGGGACATTCCTCAACTCAGATCATCAAGTTCTTAAGTATGAATTTTCATTTGGGTAGCATCATTTTTTCAGAATATACATCATGAGGTTAGTTGCATTAATAGGATTGTTTGGATGGTAGTGAATTGCTAAGAGGAAACTAAGGCCTAAGAAACTTGGAAGTGCTACCAACTTGAAGTTGTACTTTATGTGGTGTCCTCACTCCTCATAGGTAAGTTGCCTACCACATGGGACATATTTGTCATAAATTTATAAAGCTGGATTGTGATGCAGAGTGACTTTCTCTTTTGGAGTCAATCCCCTTACTTGGTTATTTTAAAGGGGTTGCGACTTTGAGATCAAGGCACTGACTCCCTTCTTGGGAACAGTGCTACACCAGATTGCCATATCCTCCTTCTGCATGTATGTTACATCCTTGCTTGGTTACTTTAAAGGGTGGAAGAACCATTCTGTACGAGTGTCATGTGAGGTGTCATATCAGTAAAAGATTATATCGTCTAATTGGGTTGAACTCTATATTTAAGACAGAGAAATAACAACAAATAAATGAAGTGGGGTTTGCAATTTTTTCATTGCTAACTATTAGGCTTCATTTGAGACTTCAGGAAAAATTAGATATGAACAATAGGTGCAAGAACTCCCAATATAGGCTAACTTAGCTACCTATCCAATTATCCCATTCCTCTATCTAAATAGAGATTATCAAGTTACAAGTGTCCCCAGAACATTTGTGCCCGATTCATTCCTTTTAGCCATTATATCAACCACTGCATTTGCTGGTCTTTGGGCCCATGAATAAGTCATTATCAGTTCCCTTTCCAGTTGCTTTATATCTATTATGAAATTTCTAAATCACCATGTGTACTAAATTCCTCAGCTACATGACAACCACTTTTGAATCCCCTTCCACCACCAAGTTCCTGGTATTAAATGTCCTACTCAATCTCAAACCCCATGGTGTTGCAGAAACTTAACCTCTTGAAGTGGGGCTTGCAGTTCATTTGACTACTATAACAATTCTAGATTATTCACTTTAATTAATTGACATGAGCAATATATTAAATTTATTGTGAAGTTTGCACCATTTCCTGTATTTGTAGTATACATTAACAAAGTTAGGGCTGGATAGTGCTAGGTAAAAATGTTCTAATGGGTGAAAAATGTCATATTTCTATGAGGATGGAGTGGTAAAGATCCTAGAGATGTTGAAATAGTCTAATGAGTTCAGATAAGCAGTTTCTTTTTTCTTATTGCTTGTAATCCATGTAAAGAGTAAAGGGCTGCTGCTGGTTGAGATTAGTGGAACTGTGGATTTGGAAATGCCACTGGTTGCCTGAATATTTTTATTGCTTGTCCTTGAGAGACCAAATTCTTGTCGAGGCAGACTTTTAGATCTACTCCCTATTATTATCATATTCCTTTTGTCACTATGTAGAAAAGGAAATGGCACAATTGGTTGGCTTGCATGTCACACTGCCGAAGAGGTTACTTTGTCCTTAAAGATGCCCCCCAGTGATATCTCCTATATTATTCAGGAGAAAGCTAGCAGTTTTACATATGTAAGAATGTAAATCCTAGAAAGCTAGCAGTTTTACATATGTAAGAATGTAAATCCTCTCTTTTTTCTGTGATTCCCTTTTCTTTATCATGGTTTTATGGTTGATGCTCTTTCCTGCAAATTCACTTGGTAGAGTGATATAAATCTAGGTGGCAAGCATCTTTCCTGCAAGTTCTCCAAAATGTCAAAATGAAGCATTAGGGTTTCAGATTGGTTGTGTTAATTTGTCCATTTTAGGTTGGTTTCTTTTTAAGGTTGGTTAAGGGGTAAAACAGAGGTTTCTTATTCTATTTATGCAATTTTTACATACCAACTCCTAACTGTCAAGTGATACAAAGAAAAACCAGTTGATCAACTGGAAGGAGATTTCAAGGAAGAAAATTAGAGAATGGTCTAACTTCTTTCTTGGGAGCTGATGATGCACAATCTGGCCGGTCTTAGCTGTCGATGATCTTGCCTCTGAACTGAGCAACAGGGACCTGAAACGGGAGGAGAAGAGAAGCTCCGGGGAGAACCCGGCGTAAGGGCTCCGAAGCTCAAGTTAGAATCCTTCAA